CCCTGACTGACACCGAGCACAGGCTGAGCCCCTCCCGGCCGGGCCCATCCTGTCCCCTCTCTACCAGCAGAGCCCGCAAAGTTTAAATGCTCAGGAAAATGTGAGACACATTTAAAAGCAGTGATACGTGTTCCACATTTCAAACTTGATGAATATATAATTATTTCCTAAAAATCTTTTTTTTTTAATTCATGACATCTGTGTCTGTTATCGCTGCTGCCTCAAGGACGCTGTGACTACTTTTAACAGCTGCACCAGAAAAGGGAGAGCTGTGGAGTGACCCGATCAGACACAAAACTGATCACGCCAGTCGCTAGGCGCTGAGGAGCTCAGGACCGTGGGGCGCGTGATTCTGCTAATGTTTCAAGATTTGGGGCTGCAGGTAAAATAGGAATATATTTTACTACAGTAGATACTTCTGTCATTTTAACCTCCTGACATGAATAAAAGTGAGTAAGAAATGGGTGGTAACATTATAAAAACCAGAGAGAGGCTGATACTAGGGGAAAACTGTTAACAACTGAAAATGCTACCTGATTTTTCTTTAAAATATAAGACAGTCATTCAAATACCAAAAAAATTTCATCACATTAACAGACTCACTCTAGCTCTACGAGAAATGTTTTACACGAGATGTACTCTATTAACAACGATTGCATTCCAAAATTTATCCTGAACAAAAGGAAGACTGGTTTTTGCAAGTTCTACAATGTGTGTAAGAGAGCCAAAAAATTCTGGTAACCAGAACAACTTACATACAGACTTCTCCCTATAGTTTAGGTAAACATTTAGGACTGCAATTTCTGCAAAGACTTGAATGAGAACAAAAATAGAATCACTGAAGCATCTTTTTCTATGGTTAGATATGGCTTGCTATTTTTATTTTGTTTTGTTTCTTAAGGAAGGAAGGAAGGGCAAAAATTGGTCAAAGATCAGGAAGCCCCTTTCACATCTTACCTTCCCACCAGCTACGAGGACCATTTAACTTCTATTCCCTTTCCTCATCTGTAAGACGCGGTGGCGCGATCATTTCTAAGATCTCTCTGCTTTAAAATTTGAAAGCCCTACAGATGCCCACATGGAAAGTAAAATAGAAAAAAGTAATACAGTTCCTGTTTTAAACCTAGGACAGATGAATAAAATGTTTTAAGTCAGAGGGTACAAACAAGCAAATTTAGTTTAGCAATGTTGCTTCTTTCCCTTAGAACAAACTACAGAAAAGAAAGCTTTGAACGCTCCTTACTGAGAAAGCTGAAAGGACTTCATTTATTTTAAAACTCAGTTTGATTAAAAAAAAAAAGAAACACACACACACAGACACACACACACACACACACACACACAACTTCAGGGAACAGGAATTCATTTTCATTCTTTCCTCATACTCTTAAGTCAGCCCAGAAATTATGTCGGAGACTAACGGAGAGAGGCCAAGTTTACTTAATTGAAAGGAGTGTTATCCAAGGTCGATATGGAATGGCTGAGTGGTAGATCAATATGTCTTCCATGAAAGACATTTATTAAGTACATTTTCCTTTGTTTAGGTGTAACTGCTAACATGTAAACCCCAGGAAACG